TCTATTGTACCGGTACCTGCCCCATGCAGCACGTTTCAAACGTACTGCCCCGAGCACAAGCAGGAGACCACCAAGGCACGCACTTCTGAGAATGCCTGCCTGAGGTTTGGGGTATAGAATGAGAAAGCTGCGGTATAAACTGACGTCGAGAAGATGTGTAGGAAGCTCATCAATGGAGGAGAAGAATGAACCTCACTAAAAGCAGTGAGGTGTGAGTAAGATCCCAATTTGCCCGATCAAAATTGCCAGCGAGGGCTACGGAAAGGTGGTAAAAAGGGAAAGGAGAAGTAAGAATGATCGGAAAATGATCGCTGCCCATGAAGTCTGGTGAACAGACCAGGTGAAGTCTAGTGCAGTGGAGCAAGGAGAGACTGATAGATCGATTGCAAGAGAGAGATGAGTACGAGGATCAAAATGGGGGAGTACCTGTATTTAAAACATGGAGGGGGTGAGAGGCGAGAAAAGCCTCCAAAACTGGATGCCACGTGAGTCACAATGAGATCCCCCCCAGAGGAATGGTGGGCATTAAAATCACCAAGTAACAGAAGGGGGGGGGTGGTAAGGGAGAAACAAGAAAGGCAAAGTCTGGGATAGAAAATGCTCGAGAAGGAGCGAGATATAAAGAACATATTGTAAACCACTTATTCAAGTGGATACGGGCTGCAGTGTAATGCAGCGAGGTATGGACAAATAGTTGACAGTATGGAATATCATTGCGTAGAAGAAGGGCACTTTCATTAAAGGCCCCATCTGAGAAAGGATCCGAAGAATAAAATTTAAATTATAGCCTGAGATAGGTTGGAAAACAGCCGAGTGTAATTTTGGTTCTTGTAAGCAAGCACCAACAGGGAAAACCTGGAAAGCACATCTGAAGCTCACCCCGATTACCCCTGAGGCCGCGGATATTCCACTGTAAATAGGCCATGATTGGCGATGAAGAAAATATCAGGAATCTGTAGGAAAAAGGCCCCCTACGGACTAGAGGGGTTAGAAAAGTCAACGTGTGGTGGCATTGGAAGACGTTCAAGTAGAGAAGGAACGGAGCTTTGCGAAGAATGGGGTTGTGAAGATGGAGGAGAGGGAAGAGAAGGAACAGGAAGTGAATCAGTGTCCTTTGAAGGTTTAGCTCTGCAATATATTCTGAAATGGCTTCAAGTGTTTCTGAATTCAAAGATGTATGGGAGACCATATTGGAGATAGAAGGAGGAGGGGTGAGTAAAGATTGGGACGTAATGGACTGTACCAAAAGTAGAGGGGGGGGGGGAAAGAGTGTAAGGGACTGGAGAGAAGTGTGGGGGGGGGACAGAAGAGGCAGAAACCGGGGAGGTGGCAGAAGAGGGAGAAACTTGGGAGGGGAGGGGGGTTGGAAGGCATAGTGCGGGGAGGAGGGTGAATCTCCACACTTTTTAATAGAGCCCGAGAGAGGGGAAGAACTAGGTACAGAGACTGGAAAGGTAAGTGTGGAGGTGGAAGAAGGAAGGAAGGGGCAAAGAAGATTGAGCAATGTGGATTTTTGGACTTCTGAGTAGAGGGGCGATTGGTATTGGGTGTCGTACGAGGTCTTGTCGAAATGGGGCTTGTGAGGAAAGGACGCAAGATGTGAGAAACAGACTGAGTTGTAGTCGGGACGTCAGAGCCAAGGACAGCAAAAGGATTAAAAGTCGTAGTGGCTATGGAGGGGTAACAACAGAGGAGGCTGCAGAAGATGGGACCCCAGAAGTGGGGGGATTTTTGGAAACACGAGAATAAGAAACACGGGGTAGTCTCCCTTGGAGGCGGAGATGAGTAACTGCCATAGCATAAGGGAGACCCTTCTGCTCTTTAGGCAACGGATTTCACGTTCATTTTAAATAGACCTGGCAACGGCGGGAGTACGAAGGGTGAGCTTCATTACAATTAAGGCAAGAGGAGGTTGACTGCAAGATGTATTAGAATGGTTTATCGGCACCACAGACTGGGCATTCGGCCATAGATCTGCAATATTTTTGCTGGGTGACCAAAACGCCAGCAATTTCTACATGTTTCGGTGTAGGTATCACCTTTCGAACTTGTAACCGATGTCCCCTGACATATACAGAGGACGGGAGTTCTCGGGTGTCAAAAGTTAAAACACCACATTGCAAGGGTAACGTCTCCGCCCCCGGGCAGGAAGGACATAATGTCTACTTTGAGGATTGGGAGATCCTGGAGTTCCAGCTGTTCAAAAAAAGTCCATTGCCACATGACTGGAAGTCTGTTGGACTATGGTATGGGGCAGAATGACAGTACCACTACAAGAATTTAGAGAAAAAATGTTTTTCAATAGTGACAGGAGTATATCGATATTCGAAAGGAGAGAAAGATCATGAGCTTGGGCAGCATTCTGGACAGTGACGATGCGATACCGCTCTTGAGAGCATGAAATGAAATATCTCTACCAACATGACGCAGGAGCGCTTTGCAATACTATGGTCAGAAAGGTAGGCAGAAGAAGAAGTCGGTCTTAAAGTAAAGAATTTAGTCCATTTGTGGTCCGAAACTGAGCGTGGAGAGGGAGTGCTTGACGTGTTGGTCTTTTCGGTTAGAATGGGAAGGTAACAAAGGACATCATCAGGAGATTTGACGTTGGCGTTTAGGAGTAGGACCGGAGTTGGTCCGGCGTGAAATGGGCGGGCGATTCGAAAATTGCCATACCGTTAGAGGGAGAAACCGGAAGCATAGTCAAAGGAGAGCGGAGTTCAGACAAAATCGAAGGAGTCAGTCGAAGCCCCGGGACCTGAAGCGGGTGGGGGGAAACAGCACCACAAGAGGTACAGGGGCATCAGGAGTGTCCCAAAAAGTGGTCTAAACACAAGGCAGGGTCAGAATGGGGTGCGGTATCAAGAAGGGGCCCGGGGGTAGTGGGTCATGGACTAGGGCTGCCATGGTTAGGTTACTCCTTTGCTTTTTGTTTTTAAGAAAAAAAAAAGAAAGAAGAAAAGAAAATAAATAAAAAAAAGAATAAAAAAAGGGGGGGGCGGGGAGGAATAGTTCCCAGGGGGAATGGGAAAAGGGCGGAAATCTCCCTCCGCGCCCAAGAGGACCTCAACACCGCTAGTAGCGCAGATGCAGCATGGAACCCGTGCCATACCCTACCCTTCATGCTAGTAAACCAGCAATCCGGGATAGCAACCTCACATCTGCCGAGCTACCTCGGTGGACAAAAGAGAGGGCGGCTGGATATCCGCCACAAAGCATACCTCCTTCGGCCACCACCCCCGGAATCCGAAAGGTGGCTTCCAGAGATACACCCGTCGCCCGAAAGACACCCAAAGCTACTCCGGTATACTGGAGAGGGATCAGGACATCCCCAGGCAATCCAGATTCCATGGCAAACTACGCCACCGCCAAGAACCTCAACGGAATGGGATGGACCCCGGTGTCCTTTCCCCTACCTAGGAACTAGCGCGCCTGTGGGAGAAATCCCAAAGGCCAAAAAGAGGAAGGGCAAAAAGGAGGGGTGAGGAGGAGGAGGAGGAATGGAAAAAGGGGAGGATGGGATAGGGGAGGGGAGAATGGGGGGTAATTAGGTTCGGTCTGAGGAAGAAGACCGACAGGGCTAATTCCTCAGACCAAGAGCCTCTTCACCACGCCAAGGAGCCTCCCTTGAAGAGGCGACCTTAATGAAGATCATTTCCGCAGAAAGTCGCTCTGCCACATATGAAGGATGACCAGGAGCATTGTCTAATACCAGGAGGCACTTAAGGCCCAATTTATTTTCCAGGAGGTAATTTTTCACAGTGGGGGCAAATGCATGGTGTAACCAGTCATAGAAAAAGTCCCTAGTGACCCATGCCTTACTGTTTGCCCTCCACAGCACACACAAATTAGCCTTGAGGACATTGTTTTTCCTGAACACTCTGGGAGTTTCATTGTTTTTCCTGAACACTGGGAGTTTCAGTGATACACCAGTAAAGGCTTCACTTTGCAATCACCACTAGCATTAGCACACATCAACAGAGTAAGCCTGTCTTTCATAGGCTTATGTCCTGGGAGTGCCTTTTCCTCCTCAGTAATGTAGGTCCTGCTTGGCATTTTCTTCCCAAACAGGCCTGTTTCGTCACACTTAAACACTTGTTCAGGTTTCAGTCCTTCACTGTCTATGCACTCCTTGAATTCCTGCACATATTTTTCAGCCGCTTTGTGGTCCAAACTGGCAGCCTCACTATGCCTAATCACACTATGTATACCACTACGATTCTTAAATCTCTCAAACCAACCTTTGCTGGCCTTAAATTCACTCACATCACCACTAGTTGTAGGCTTTTTTCTAATTAAATCCTCATGCAACTTCCTAGCCTTTTCACATATGATTGCTTGAGAGATGCTATCTCCTGTTATCTGTTTTTCATTTATCCACACCAATAACAGTCTCTCAACATCTTCTATCACTTGCGATCTCTGTTTCGAAAACAAAGTTGCACCTTTGGCAAGAACAGCTTCCTTGATTGCCGTTTTGTTGGCCACGATAGTAGCGATGGTTGATTGGGGTTTTGTGTACAACCTGGCCAGCTCGGAGACACGCACTCCACTTTCATACTTAGCAATGATCTCTTTCTTCATATCCAAAGTAATTCTCACCCTTTTTCCTGTAGGGTTGGCACTAGAAGCTTTCTTGGGGCCCATGGTGGCTTATTTTGCAGGTGCAATCACTAAAAAGGCTGTGATAATATGAAATGTTCCGATTGTATGCTTGGCAGCGACCGCGGTGGCTGGCTTGTAAACACTGGCACCCACAGAACAAGTGAGGCGGGTTCAGGCCGCACGTGGACGCGTCTCGAACAAATCGCGTTGAGCGAGTTTTTTAGCGCTAGCAGAGGCAAAATTTTTGCGTTAAAATGTATCGCTAGGCAGATTTAACGTTATGCGATGCCATCATTAGGCGATGGTCCACTGTATATATATGCCCACATTATCTCGTACCCGTCTAAATATTAAAATTAAAGTGACTTGGGAATAAAATAAAAACATTTGGAAAGAAATAATTTTCTCATTAGTATTTTTTATTAATTAAACATTTACAAATAGTTAGACTCTTGTGTAATATTATTAAATATATTAATGATATAACATTTTTGATGACTTAAGCTAGGCTCCTTTCTTATGGAAGGATCAGCATGAAATTAACACCTGTGATGCCCTCTCATCTTACTTGAAATAAATAAAAGTAAGAAACAGTAATGGTAATAACTACACACAAGTGGGACTTCAAGTTGAGTAATATGTCTGGATGATATAAAATATGAAAAGTACTTTTGATCTTTTAAATGGTCAAGAGAATGTATATATGTACTTGGTAGAGTTTTAAAAAATGTTAATTTTATTTTTCTTTGTACAGTTTTGCACATGTCTCATATGATGATGTAACAAAGTCCAGATGAATATCAGCACAAGGTAAAGGAGGTAGGGGAGATGTGAGAACCTAACCTGGTGTCACCCAGCATGACACCAGCCAGTTGCTACACTCACACCAGCTTCCACAAGCTGCTGCTCCTCATGTCCTCACTCGCTGCTTAACATTATGCTGTACTGATGTGGGAGAATGAAATATGGCTGATTATCCATTTTATTTGTAAAGAGAGAGTGAAGGATGCTTTGCTGATTATGAGAGGCTATGTTGTAACTGTGGCCAAAGGTAATATTATAGTGGGCCAACTGTTCAATGGTCGAGAGCTGATGAAGGGCACTGAGCCTAGTAAGGGTCCAGAGTAAGAACCTGAGCAAGTGAGTGCCTATATTTTTATATAAGGAAGCCCTGCTGGGAGAGACCAGGGTCCACCACCCTATAAATTGTTGGTGATGAGTTGGTACCGGCGGAATTGGCGCAGGGTGATGCCGGAATACACGGGGTCATTCATGGGCGTCGAACGTCGGGGGGTCATGCGACCCTTCTGAGATGGGGGCGGCAAAGACATAAAATGGAAGTGTGGTGGCCAAGCCCACGGTGACATGTACATGGGCCTTCGTCTTTGGGGTGCTGAAGGAGCCGGTCGCGGTGCAAGGCTGTAACCCACTTTGTCAAGGGGTTTGTTCCTGCGACGGGCATTGGCTAGAGCTTTTACCTGACGAGGTGTTGTAAGCACTCGGCCATTGGCTACCTGTGTGGCACGGGTGGGCGAGGGGGAAGAGGGTGAAGAGCCATGACTGAAGCCATTACTGGATGGGGTATTATAGAGAGGAGCGACGCTCGGTGGGGACCCTGGCCCCCTTCACAACTGTGCTTGAGAACCACGCCACGACATTTGTCCAAAACTAACTGCGCCATAAGTACCATAGCCAATACTACCATAGTAGTCACTAGGAGCTCCACCAGGTCCAGAGGGAGAATACCCACCCTGTAGGAAGTCAATATTACTTTATACCCCATAACTATTTCCATCCAAATAAAACAAAAGAAAAAAATGCAGTTATCTTGCTTGTATGAAATGTATCTAACAAAATTTTACTGAATACATATAAATACAGCTGAGGTATGGTACAGTAATGCTCAAAAAAATTTGCATACTAACCGCCATATATCTGTTGAGCTCATCCTGAGTGTCGAAGATCATAACAATGAAGGGACTGCCAGGGACATGTTCACCCGACCACTTCACCTCCATGCGATAGTCCCCAGGCTCTGTGGGATCGTACTTGCACAAAATAGTCCTGTCCTTCTGAGATTCACGCTGCATCTCCACACGGAAGGCACCTGTTGAAAAAAACAAAATATGCATCATGAAACCGACAATTTCCATAGCATAAGGACATCTTGTGAGTGTTTTGCTTCATCAATTATGTCATTATGTGAAACCAATCAGATGACACACCTTTTGGTCCCCTGATTCTAACGGTAAGCTGTCCGGCCCCAGCGCCTCGAGTGTCACAGATGAAGCGACTCTGATAAGATGCTAACACTCCATGCTCAATCCCAGGACCATATACACGAACCTATGACCAGGTGAACAGTATGTGGTTAGCAAAATAAGAGATACAGAAAGTGCAATGAGTCCCTCTTAAGAAAATTAAAATATTAATTTGAAAAGAGCTGAGATTATTTTCTTGCAAGTGTCAATTAAAATAATTTTGTCTGGAGGGTTATGTCTGACATATAATTTCAAAAATGCATAAGGATAAACACTTGTTAATACAAGATCATGTCAGCTATGAGGATGTATAATAAAGAAATCTCTTATGAAGGATGCTAATTACTGTACATATTGATATAAATTTTGGATATATGATTAAACTGTTCCAAGTATTATGAGCATTAACAAAAACTTAAGTTTAGATGAATCATATACCAGACAAGTAGGTGGGTAGTAAAGAGTGTGGGTTACTTAGAATAAGACACCATAAGGTGGGTAGCAAGTCTGGGATTACCTTGGATGGGTCAGGTGCACCAGCCACCTTGAGTGTGAAAGGAGATCCGGGCACGTGTTCCCCTTCGTACTTCACACTGAGGGCGTGCCTACCCGGCTCCTGTGTGTACACTATTCATTACCATCACACACTTTTTATATATACAGTACCCTTTATATATACTATTTCAATGGAGTGATCAAATGTCTGTATATTTTAGTTTTATTTATTAAGCACTAAACTCATAGGGATCATAAAGGTTTTGAGGAATGGGAGGTAATAAGGTTTGATCCAAGGATGGAAAAGGTAATTTGGATTCCTTGGATTAAGAGCCCTTCACCAACATCAGAGAGCCTCCCTAGATAAGAGCAAGTTTTAGCTGTCAATATTTATCAGCATTTCCATAATCCACTAATTCACAAGTACAGTAATTTTTTTGTGAAAAGAATTGCAAGGTTTAGTAGGTAACAGGAAAATTCTGTTCCTGTATGTTCTCTGAACATTATATATTTGTTATATTCACCAATTATTTTACAGCAGTCAACTTATGACTTTTAAGAAAGAGCATACCTGTGGCCTGATGTTGAGTGTGAAGGTTCCATCACCATGTTCATCTAAGTCACACAGCGCCACCTTCTGTGGCCCTGTGCAAGTAACAGTCAACTCGCCAGGACCTGCCCGCCGAGTATCAATGAAGGACTTGATTTCGTTGCCAACCATCCCATGTCTGAGCCCTTCGCCTGAGCACACTACCCGCGAAGCATCTGCTGCACTCTCGACGTTAACCTTGAGTGGACAGCCTCGCACCTGGCGGTCCGACCACATTACATTGAGCAAATAAGCACCAGGCACGATGGGTGTGTAGACTGCTCGCCAAAGGCCGCCTCCTTGGTGTGTTAATGAGACAGAAATGTCAGTCTTAGTGCCACTCATGGTTACATCTGGAGCACCAGGGCCAGCTGCTGAGCCATCAATGATGAACTCTGACTGGTCTCCACAGCGAGCTGTGTTGAGGCCGTGACCCTGCAGAGTAACTCTGGTGTGGTCACCTGTAGACACTGGCTCAGCCCAACCTAGTACTGGCATATCTGGCAGTGGCAAATCTGCATACCACAAACGTAGTTCATAAGAACCCTCACCTGGTGGTGTAAAGAGCAGACGTGCTCGAGAGCCATTCTGATCCATGCCTATTTCTACTTGCCTGCCTTCATGCATAACTTCACCTTTGAGTCTGCCCGGGCCAGCCTCACTCACATCGAAGGCCAGCCGTTTTTCCTCACGAGGTGTCAGCTCCAGGCGGCCATCTGCGTCTTGTAAACTTGACCAGCCACCAATGAGTCTCACACGAGCAGGGTCCACAATCTTAGGGTGGAATGGACTGCCAGCAACATCCCGTTTGTTCCACTGGACACGGACATCAAAGATGCCCACTTCATGAGGAACATATGTTACCTGCCATTACATGGTGTTTTAGTGTATTCAACAGAACTGTAACTACAGTATAAATAAATAATGCTGCAGTACTTATAAACAATATTAAGCAGTATGCTTGAGCACCAAAATTAAGCAGTCATAAATATTAAGTTACCTATACTGTACAAATTACAGAGCATTATATATGAAAACATAAAAATCACCTGGTAAAGGCCTTCATCTTGTTTACGAACGTTGACACGAGCAACACTGTCTGGACCATCCACAGTGACATGGGGCTCTCCAAGGAGACCACGTCCATCGATGGTGAAGGTGAGAGGTGTGTCCACTGCACCACCATCTAGTCCAGAGCCTTTCACACTAGCTAACCCAGACTCGCCCACTTCCACTGTCAGCGGTGACCCTGGTACCTATAAGGCATATACTTAATAGTAACTTAAGTGGTGGTATTTTGTTTGTTAGAGAAAGTGTCTGCTAACAGTTATGTAATGGCCTGCTAGGGTACTGTAGGTAGGTTTCCTTACCATTATCTACAACACAGTATGTTGTATCCTAGTCTCATAGTATCTTGACAAATTAATATATAAAATATAATGCTTTTCACCACTTTCTAAACTGCAAAAAAAAAAAAATTAAGGTTTATAAATATGGTCTTCTCTAATAAAAGAGAGGAGTTGAATTTATATATGTTTGTGCTTACCTCTTCCCCTCCATAAAGGAAAGTAACTCTGTACTGTCCTGGGGCATCCGGGACCCACTCCACAGCCTCCCCCGCAGGTCCACTCTTCACCTCCAGGGGCATCACCACTCCTGAGGGTGCTACAATATGCACCTCCAAGTCAGCTATACCCGCTTCTGACTTGTCCACTGAAAAGACAGAGTACACACTCAGGAGTGAAGCACTTCTACAAATCAATTTAATTATTATTACAAAATATGAGAGTTGATCAACAGCGAGTTTGCATTACTTACATTTGAACAAACATGGTTCACCAACAGCAGTTACTAATTTGCTGTGACCCAGCATCACTTTAGAGGCATCATAGGCTGTACACTGGAATGGTGAGCCCTTGACATGTTTTGTGGAACACATCACCTCTATTTTGTATGTTCCTGGGATGTGTGGGGTATATTCGGCCAGTAAGTTTCCATCCTTCTGTTGGTAACATTTAACTGGAACAGCCCAGTCTTGTGGTCCAGTAATAAGCACATCAAACTCCTTTGAAGGCTGACCCAAGGTCTCAATAACAAATGATGTGGGCTTGTTAACTCTCGCCTGGTGGAGGCCGATGCCTGTGGCTGTCACCGAGTGGCCGGTGGCAGGGTTACGAACACCTACCTCAAATGGTCCTCCTGTTTAAGCAAAGAATAAGAGCACATGTATTTTTTTTTTAATACGTCGGCCATTTCCCAGTGAGGCAGGGTGACCCAAAAAGAAAAATACCCAAACAGAAAGAAAAACTTTCATCATTCAACACTTTCACCATCACTCACACATAATCACTGTCTCTGCAGAGGCGCTCAGACACAACAGTTTAGACGTCCCTCCAAACTGCCAATATCCCAAACCCCTCCTTTAAAGTGCAGGCATTGTACTTCCCAATTCCAGGACTCGAGTCCAGCTAACCGGTTTCCCTGAATCTCTTCACAAAATATTACCCTTCTCACACTCCAATAGCTCATCAGGTCCCAAAAACCATGCGTCTCCATTCATTCCTATCTAACATGCTCACACATGGTTGCTGGAAGTCCAAGCCCCTCGCCCACAAAACCTCCTTTACCCCCTCCCTCCAACCTTTTCAGGGACAACCCCTACCCTGCCTTGTTTCTCCTACAGATTTATATGCTCTCCAAGTCATTCTACTTTGTTCCATTCTCTCTAAATGACCAAACCACCTCAACAGCCCCTCTTCAGCCCTCTGACTAATACTTTTAGTAACTCCACACCTCCTAATTTCCACACTTCGAATTCTCTGCATAATATTTACACCACACATTGCCCTTCATGATATCTCCACTGCCTCAAGCCGCCTCCTCGTTGCAGCATTTAGAACCCGTGCTTCACACCAGTATAAGAGTATTGGTACCACTATACTCACGTACATTCACTTCTTTACCTCCATGGATAATGTTCTGCCTACACAGATACCTCAATGCACCACTCACCTTTTTTCTTTCATCAATTCTATAGTTAACCTCATCCTTTATAAACCCATCCGCTGACAAGTCGACTCTCAAATACAGTGGACCCTCGAATTTAGTAGTGCCTTTTCTGTATGCAAAACTAATTTTATCTATAAAATGTATTGTTTGTTAATATTTTTGGGTGTCTGGAATGGTTTAATTGGATTTACATTATTTTCTATGGGAAATATTAACAAAACATACATTTTATAGATAATAAAAATAGTTTTGCATACAGAAGACACTACTAAATTCGAGGGTCTGAAAACATTCACTTCTTCCATACTCCCTCCCTCCAATGTGATATCCAATTTTTCTTTATCTAAATTGTTTGATACCCTCATCACCTTACTCTTATCTATGTTCACTTTCAACTTTCTACCTTTACACACCCTCCCAAACTCATCCACTAACATTTGCAACTTTTCTTTAGAATCCCCCAAAAGTACAGTATCATCAGCAAAAAGTAACTGTGTCAACTCCCATTTTGTATTTGATTCCCCATAATTTAATCCCACCCCTCTCCCCAACACCCTAGCATTTACTTCTTTTACAACCCCATCTATAAATATGTTAAACAACCATGATGACATTACACATCTCCGTCTAAAGCCTTCTTTTACAGGGAAGTAATCTTTTCTCCTACACACCCTAACCTGAACCTCGCTAGCCACTAGCCTCATAAAAATTTTACAGCGTTTAGTAACATACTACCTATTCCATACACTTGCAACATCTGCCACATTGCTTCCCTATCCACTATCATATGCCTTTTCTAAATCCATAAATGCAATGAAAACTTCCCTATGTAAATACTATTCACATATATGCTTCAATGTAAACACCTGATTTGCACACCCCCTACACATTCTAAAGCCTCCTTGCTCACCTGCAATACTGTTCTCTGTCTTACCTCAAATTCTTTTAATAATAACCCTACCATACACTTTACCTGGTATACTCAGTAAACTTATTCCCCTATAATTTTTACAATCTCTTTTGTCCCCCTTCCTTTTATATAACAGAATTATATATGCTCTCTGCCAATCCCTAGGTACCTTCTCCTCTCTCATATATTTATTAAACAAAAACACCAACCACTCCAACAAACACTAACTCCCCCTGCTTTTAACATGTCTGTCATGATCCCGTCAGTTCCAGCTGCTTTACCCCCTTTTCATTCATCCCCCACACTCACGTCTGGCTCTTCTTCACTCCTAAAAGATAGTATACCTCCCTGACCAGTGCATGAAATTACTGCCTTTCTTTCTTCATCGATATTTAAAAGTTCCTCAAAATATTCCCACCATCTACCCAATACCTCCAACTCCCCATCTACTAACTCCCCTACTCTGTTTTTTAACTGACAAATCCATTTGTTCCCTAGGCTTTCTTAAATTGTTTATCTCACTCCAGATTTTTTTCTTATTCTCGGCAAAATTTCTTGACAGTGCCTCTTCCACTCTATCATTTGCTGTCTTTTTGCACTCTCTCACCACTCTCTTCACCTTTCTGTATGTATATACAATAATAATAAAGTTATTAAAATATTAAAAGCAGGTGGAGATGCATTTTTGGAGTGGTTGGTACTTTTGTTCAATAAATGTATATGAAAGAGCAGAAGGTACCTAAGGAACAGCAAAGAGTGTGCATAGTTCCTTTATATAAAAGGATGGGGGATGAGTGTAAAAAATTATAGGGCAGTAAGCCTACTGAGCATACCAGGTAAAGTGTATGGCAGGCTTACTACTGACAGAATTAACGTGAAGACAGAGAGAAGGATCGCAGATGAACAAGGTTTTAGACAGGGTATGGGCTGTGTAGATTGTGTTTACAGTGAAGCATATAATTGAACAATATTTAAATAAAGGTAGGGAAGTTTTAGTTACTTTTATGGATTTAGAAAAAGGCATTTGATAGGGTGGATAGAGAAGCAATGTGGCAGATGTTGAATAGGTAGTAAGTTACTACATGGTGTAAAGTTTTTATGAGGATAGTGAGGCTCAGGTTAGGGTGTGTAGGAGAGAGGGAGATTACTTCCTAGTAAAAGTAGGTCTTAGACAGGGATGTGTAATGTCACAATGGCTGTTTAACATATTTATAGATGGGGTTGTAAAAGTAGTAAATGCTAGTGTGTTGGGGAGAGGAGGTAATTTAATATCTTTATTATGCACCCCATGCCCATCCTGTGGGTGGTAGTCAGAAGATTACAGAGGCACACAATGCATTCAGGGACTGGACCCCAAAGTTTTGACAGCTGAATAAGTTACAAAGGTAATGAATCATGTAAGTAAATTTACTAAGAGAGAGGAGTGTGATTAAATTATAGGGAATTAAAATGCAAAATGAGAGTTAACAGTTTCTTTTTGCTGATGATACTGTGCTTTTGGGTGATTCTACAGAGAAGTTTGAGAAGGGATTCAGGGAAGCCGGTTGGCTGGACTTGAGTCCTGGAGGCGGGAAGTACAATGTCTCCACATTAAAGGAGGGGTTTGGGATATTGGCTGTCTGGAGTGACATCTAAACTGTCGTATCTGAGCGCCTATACAAAGTGTGGAAAATTACATTTACCTGGATGTAACTCATAAGGTACATACCAGTAAATGGTAACAAAGATAATTATTATTTATCAAAGTTACATAGACAAGTAGGAATTTTGGGACACCTAGGTCACAAAAAATGTCCCCCTTCGATACCTACAACTGTCATACCCACAAGTTAATCTAGACCTATATTAATTGCAAATGAACTATACATTACCAGGAATTCTGGTAAACATTATTATAAATTTGTGGACTATGTTAAAATTAATAAATGATTACATATACACATTTATATAACAGAAGGAGAATTTATAATCATAACACTCACCAATTTATCTGGAGATTACTGTGTATCATACTCAAAAAAAAACCCTGTCTACATTTATGAAAAAGATACTGGCCAGAACTATAACCATAAACATAGACATCTTATCTGAGGTTCCTGGAGCTGTCCTGTCCATCTGCTTAATGCTCAAGTTATGCAGGAATGCACATCCAACAATTTCGGCTCCTATTTTAGAGGTTTTAAGCCCAATATAACCCCTAGAGCAACGAAAATTGTGCACATTACACTAATGTGCTTGTATCACATTCAAAAACAATGGCGACTCTCCCCTGCTCTTCAGCGCAGGCGCAGAGTTTCCCTGTCGATTATCTTATTTAAAATGCACTCAACAGAACAATAGTAACGTATTAATCAGGTTTATTTACACAGCATAATTTTGGGAAATTATTTTCCACACAAAGATAGTGATTATATATGAACGATGATGAAAGTTTTTTCTGTTCACCCTGCCTCGGTTGGAAACGGTCATGATACATGTATATTTCTTTCTTTCGACACACCGGCCGTATCTCACAGAGGCGGGGTGGCTCAAAAGGAAAAACAAAAGTTTCTCCTTTCACATTTAGTATTATATACAGGAGAAGGGGTTACTAGCCCCTTGCTCCCGGCATTTTAGTAGCCTCTTATGACACGCATGACTTACGGAGGAAGAATTCTGTTCCACTTCCCCATATATCTTTCTTTCAACACACCGGCCATATCCCACCAAGGCAGGGTGGCCCAAAAAGAAAAACGAAAGTTTCTCTTTTAAATTTAGTAATTTATATGGGAGAAGGAGTTACTAGCCCGTTGCTCCCGGCATTTTAGTCACGTCTTACAACACGCATGGCTTACGGAGGAAGAATTCTGTTCCACTTCCCCATATATATTATATATATATATATATATATATATATATATATATATATTATATATATATATATATTATATATATATATATATATATATATATATATACACACACATATGCAAAACAAACACTGTGAAAGAATAGAGAAATTCCAAGCGCTTTCGTGACTACTCACATTATCAAGGAACTATGAAAGTAAAGCATCCAAGGAAGGTATGTAAGGTGTCTGGCCAACACCTCACTATCAGATCCCACAACAGTTAAACACCTGACACGCGCTGGCCCAACTGGACAGGTCCTTCGCACACCCACCAACAAACTATTCTACCCAAGAAAATTTTAAAAATTATTATTTGTCCAGTGTATTATTAAATTCTTCCCAAATTCTATTAATTATAAATGGATCTACTTTATATAAACCAAAGGAAATATTCATATTATTGTCAAAACTGCTTTTTATGAAACAAGAGAAATTTCAATTACTCAGATATGGTAAACATGAGGAAATTAAATCTTCATCAGAGTACAAAACAAATTCTGGCCACGAAATAGAGCGAAACACCAATGTCAAAGACCTGGGAGTGATTATGTCGGAGGATCTCACCTTCAAGGACCATAACATTGTATCAATCGCATCTGCTAGAAAAATGACAGGATGGATAATGAGAACCTTCAAAACTAGGGAGGCCAAGCCCATGATGACACTCTTCAGGTCACTTGTTCTATCTAGGCTGGAATATTGCTGCACTCTAACAGCACCTTTCAAGGCAGGTGAAATTGCCGACCTAGAAAATGTACAGAGAACTTTCACGGTGCGCATAACGGAGATAAAACACCTCAATTACTGGGAGCGCTTGAGGTTTCTAAACCTGTATTCCCTGGAACGCAGGAGGGAGAGATACATGATTATATACACCTGGAAAATCCTAGAGGGACTAGTACCGAACTTGCACACGAAAATCACTCACTACGAAAGCAAAAGACTTGGCAGACGATGCACCATCCCCCAATGAAAAGCAGGGGTGTCACTAGCACGTTAAGAGACCATACAATAAGTGTCAGGGGCCCGAGACTGTTCAACTGCCTCCCAGCACACATAAGGGGGATTACCAACAGACCCCTGGCAGTCTTCAAGCTGGCACTGGACAAGCACCTAAAGTCAGTTCCTGATCAGCCGGGCTGTGGCTCGTACGTTGGTTTGCGTGCAGCAACAGCCTGGTTGATCAGGCGCTGATCCACCAGGAGGCCTGGTCACAGACCGGGCCGCGGGGGCGTTGACCCCCGAAACTCACTCCAGGTATATTCCTGTCGACCATGGACTTGCTTGATACTACTTTCTCAACTTTTTGAAAATCAATTGGATGGTTAAAATCTCTTCCATGAATAAATAGAGCATTGGAATCTTGTCCAGTTCTAATGCTATATTTATGTTGTTTTAATCTTAGTTCGAGATTTTTACCAGTTTGACTGTAATAAACTTTATCGCAAATTTTACAAGGAAACTTATAGACACATACATCAGCATTTTGGGGGGAATTCTTTATCAAAAGTTTTTTTACTGTATCAAGATTTTTGAATACAACTTTAATATTAAAAGTCTTAAGAAGAGAAGGCATATCAACCAAGTTTTCATGGTAAGGGAGAACCAACATATTTTTAGTTGAATAAGGCTGGTTGTCCCTTTTTGGATTGTAAAAAGTATTTCTAGCAACTTTAAAAGATTTATCAATTACATTTCTTGGGTATTTTAAATCATTACCTATTTCATAAATTTTGGATATTTCCTCATCTATGAACTCAGGACTACAAATTCGTAAAGCTCTCAAAAACATTGATGAGAAAACAGACAGTTTGACTCCATCTTGATGCGAAGAATAATAGTGGACATAGAAACAGATATTTGTAGGTTTTCTGTAAATTTTAAATTTGAATTCATTATTACCCTTAATAATTAAAACATCTAGAAAAGGCAATGAGTTATTTTCTTCAAACTCAACAGTAAAGTTTATAGAATGGGCTAAGCTATTTAATTTTCCAAGGAAATGGTGTATATCTACATTTTTGGGCATAAGACACAAAATATCATCAACATACGCTGTATAGTCCTTGTGGTTTAGCGCTTCTTTTTGATTATAATAATAATCATCAACATATCTGAACCATTTAGCTTTATTAGAGAGGATTGTTTTGCATATTCTGAAATCACCTGTTTACTGTGATCTTATTGCATGCATGCATGCATGCATATATATATATATATATATATATATTATATATATATATATATATATATATATATATATATATATATATATATATATATATATATATATATATATATATATATATATATATATATATATATATATATATATATATATATATATATATATATATATATATAATTATATATATATATACATGTATATATATATATATATATATATATATATATATATATATATATACATGTATATATATATATATATATATATATATATATATACATGTATATTATATATATATATATATATATATATATATATATATATATATGTATATATATATATATATATATATATATATATATATATATATATATATATATATATATATATATATATATTTATTTATTTATTTATTTATTTATTTACAATTTGAGCACACATACAGAGGTACAAAAAAATACAGATAAGAGCAGCATGCCAAAGCCACTTATACTATGCATAGCATTACGGGCTGGCTTAAAATTAACTTAAGATTAACTAAGCAATGATGAAATCAGTGATAAAACATTAATGTAAACAGATAACTATAAAGCACAAGTGAGTATTACAAAGACAGGTCATATGGTTGCATGCATTGCTGTACATTCAGTAGAATGGAGTATTCTGTTAGGTAGTGTATTTAAAAAATAATAAAGTTAGATTGGGCCCGGGTTCGATTCCCGGCGGGTGGAAACATTTCGACACGTTTCCTTACACCTGTTGTCCTGTTCACCTAGCAGCAAATAGGTACCTGGGTGTTAGTCGACTGGTGTGGGTCGCATCCTGGGGGACAAGATTAAGGACCCCAATGGAAATAAGTTAGACAGTCCTCGATGACGCACTGACTTTCTTGGGTTATCCTGGGTGGCTAACCCTCCGGGGTTAAAAATCCGAACGAAATCTTATCTTATCTTATCACACACACACACACACGTCGTGCCGAATAGGCAGAATTTGCAATCTTGGCTTAAATAGCAACGCTCATCTTGCCATATAGGACAAGTGAAAATTTGTATATGCAATAATTTCGCCAAAATCATTCTGAACCTAACGAAAAAAATATATTTCACTGTGTTTGTTTAGAATTAAATTACTGTAAACAAATCTAAAATATATTTAGTTGGGTTAGGCTAAAATAAATTGCTCGTTATAATAATGTTAGGTAAGTTTTCTAAGATTCTTTTGGTGCAAAATTAAAAAAATTTACATTAACATTAATGAAAAAAATATATCTTTAAACGTATAAGAGAAAATTTTAGAAAGGACTTAATTTTAAACGAGTTCTTGCTAATTGACCAGTTTTACATATTCCGCATGACATATTATTTATTATTAACACACTGGCCGATTCCCACCAAGGCAGGGTGGCCCGAAAAAGAAAAAACTTTCACCATCATTCACTCCATCACTGTCTTGCCAGAAGGGTGCTTTACACTACAGTTTTTAAACTGCAACATTAACACCCCTCCTTTAGAGTGCAGGCACTGTACTTCCCATTATATATATATATATATATATATATATATATATATATATATATATATATATATATATATATATATATATATATATATATATATATATATATATATATATATATATATATATATATATATATATATATATATATATATATATATTATTTTATACAAGTCTGGCCAATACAATAAGTTATTGCATTTAAGGGTTATTTAAACCCATAGGGGTCATACTACTGTGAGTGCGGGGATGAGAGGAAATGAGGTTTGATTCAAGGAAGGCCAGGTCAGCTACCACTCCTTGGATGAAGCAGTCATCACTGGCATCAATTAACCTCCCTTGATGGGTATAATAGGAGAAACAGTCTGACTTTAAAATACAGAACATTAGAGCAGGAAAAATATAGCAAATGACATTAGAAACGCACCTTGGACAGGGACCCCATTGTAGCGGATATCCACCTTGTGAGGGATTGGAGCTCTAGGATAGAAGAGCACCTTGTAGAGCCCACCACCCAAATCTCTGATAGAGTGCTTCACATCCTGGCCAGCTGCTCGCACGCCTACTGACAGTGTTCCTCGACCAGCACCTAAAACAAATTACTATAATCAAACCTAAGCGCTAAACCCACAAGGGTACCTAAAACAAAACAAATTTCTATAAAGTTGAGTACTGTACATTATATAACTAGAGTAACTGACATGTATAAACTACTTCACAGAAAGCCCCTTATTATGCAAAGCATTTCGGGGAATGAGTTCATTTCCATTACCTCCTGCAATTCCTATTTCAGTCAACATAAACAAAATTTATATTTAGTATCAGCTATAAAAAGAGTATTATTATTATACAAGGTCAATAAAGTTAAAGCCAGTACTGCAGAATCACACCACTTACTTTTATTCCGCCAGTCCTCAGGTTTTGGCGATGTTACTAATATTTGTTAAGTAGTGTCTCAATTATGAGACAGAGGATCGAGCCACCACCACGCTGTGCTGAATGACCCACATCGGTTTAGAACTTTATACAGATTAATAAATGCAGTGTGTTACTAACCTGATGCGTCCACCTTGAGAGCACACTCCTGTGCAGAGAAGCATTCTCCTGCAGGCTGTAAGTTAACTCTACGAGGGTCAGCGGCTTCAACAGTGTACGGTGTACCGTTGATGGGTGTACCTTGATGCAACACTGCCACGCTGTAGGACCCAACCTGTCCACACAAACACTCTACTACAGTAAACGAACTCCAGTTAATGTAAAAACAACACTACAATAAACATTAAATACTCAACTAAGATAAAAATAAACACTCCAGTATACGGTATTATCTCTCTCATCTCTGAGTGTTGTGTCTCCCATGTAAATGTATGGCATACAATACCGACAAGAATTAAACACTTGTGCAACATCTGGTTATCTTTATTGTTGACGTTTCGGCATCCAGTGGCTTTATCAATACAAATTCAAGGATATAATTACAAGACAGTAGAACTATATACAAATGGCTGAGGAACTGACTACCTCAATTATAATTCCTTGAATTTGTATTGATAAAGCCACTGGATGGCGAAACGTCTACAATAAGGATACCCAGATGTTGCACACGTGTCTTATTCTTCATGTCGTCTCCTATCCCTGAGTGTCGTGCTTCCCATCATACTGTTTGTGAAGCGGCTCACCTGGTCTGCGCGGTATTCAGCACGATGGAGGCCGCTGCGTAGTTTGACCAGCCTGGCTGGGACCTGTCCACCATCAGGGCCTGTGACACGAATGTCCAGCTCACCATCCAGACCCTTGGTGTCCACCGTGAAGGACGCAGTGCTGCCAGTCACCACCTGTGACACACACACAAGCGTTTACTCACAAGTCTATCTCAAAGAATCGGGTCGTGTTATAGTAAATGATATATTATGGGCGTCACTTGAACCCAGTGTAACGAAACTAAGTCAAGTAGTTGTATAATAAGAGTTCAATAGTATAGTCACATGCAACATCTGGGTATCTTTACTTGTAGACGTTTCGCCATCCAGTGACTATCAACACATTACATGGGTATGATATAAAGATAGTAGAAATATATACAGCAGACAGTGGAAGATGAGGCAATCAGTCCCTCAGCCGAGGACTGATTGCCTCATTTTCACTGTCTGCTGTTATTATGTCTACTATCTTTATAATATGGCCATATAATATATTGATAAAGCCATTGGATGGCAAAATGTCTACAAGTATTCCCAGATGTTGCATGTGTAATTCATCAGTAATATGCAAACAGTATAGAGCATAAGACAAGCGCAACATAAGACAGGCTGATGTTTCCAGGAGAGTAATTCAACTCTGTATATGACTGATGAATCCTGCAGCTCAACATAAACGTCTCGTCAAAAAAGGTTCCTAGTGTTGCACATGTATCTTAATTATCAATTGTTGGTATTGATTATTATTTAAAATATATGGCGTATCTAACTCTTCAAGAGGTCTTGTTCCAAGAAACTGGAGCTACCCTCTTGAATCAACCTTGATTACTCATTTTCCATTCTCCTGGCACTATGACCCTTATGGATATATCGCTTTCCTGTTAATTTAATAATTACATTTCTAATTGGGTCTTTCCTAGAACGACATGAGCCACAATTTAATGACACACGAAGACCAATTGAACCCAGGTCCTTTCAGTTGTGAACCTTATATATAACCACTAAGTTACATGCCCCGTGATGTTTCTAAGCAAATATTTCAACTCGCTTGTTGTCTCACCTGCTTGAGTCCATCTCCCTTTGCTGTCACCATCTGACTCTCCTTGCGCTGCAGATGGCGCACCTCGCGAGGCTCCAGCTCTCGGACATCACACTTGAAGGGTGAACCTACAGTAGCAAGAACAATACTGTGACTAAACACTGCTGTGATACACGTTACATGGAAAGTGTTTTTAAAGATCATTTAAGTATCATTTACATTAACTATTACTTATACTGACCCAGAACATCCTCTTCGTTGAAGGTGATGTTAACGAAGTGTGGGATGGGCTCATGTGGAGTGAAGGTGACGTCATAAAGACCACGAGACCTGGCGGCCACCTCAGCCCTGACTGAGGCCTTGGCTGTAGTCACCACCAGCTCCAGGGTCCCCTCCCCAGCCTGAGACGCGTCCACCGTGAATGTCACGGGTCGGTTTACCTGCAACCACAGAGTAATTATATAAACCCTGACAAAAAAAAGACTAAAGTTGTGGGCACAGTTAAAGTGTGCTCTACAATCAGCTGTACCCCACAGGCTACACAACAGGGCAGGAGCACCTGCTAACAGGTGGTCATAGAGGACCAGAGGAAACATGACTATGGAATACAAGATACTTCGAGGATTTAAAAAAAGATGGGCAGAAGACTGGGAGGTGGGATATGGGAACGAAAAGACAAATGTACTGCAAGAGAAATATGCTACAGACAATAAGCATGACAGGGCCCACAAGGCCAGGACTGATAGTAGTCATGGTTAGATATAGGGCAAGACTAAGAGCTGAAAGTCAACCCTCTCAACCAGTTAAGTGGCAAGTATAACCAGGCGAGTACATTATTAGGTTCTTTTAAGTAAGGTTCCTTGATATGCTCTTTTCTTCAAGGAACTGGACCTGCCCTCCTGAAGCATGCACCAAGTATGTTTATTCGGCATAAATCGCACAACCACTTCTTGCATTTCCTCTATAATCAGCCAAGTCAACAAATATAGCTGTACAGCTGTTGGGGCTCCCAACTGTGGTGTGAATGGTTGTCAGTTTAAATGTCAACTAATTAGAGTGAGAGTTTGACTTCCAGAGTACCTGACATATCCTCTGGCTTGAAGGACAGTCTCTCACTAGCTATGGTTGAGTACATATAATGATCTCGTATGCAGGGCCGGATTAAGAAGTCTCCGGGCCCTAGGCTATTCAGATTGGCGGGGCCCCTTTGAGTTACGGGTAAGCGAAGCGACCCCTTCCAGTTTCGGGGTGGGGGGGGGGGGGGTCGGTGTGAGCCTGTTTAAGGTCTAATTAAATACATTCTGGCTATTTAGATTAAATTTAATAGGGAAAGTACATCAAGACAACCAAAACCATTTACCAACAGCCATTATAACTATCTTGTTAAATCATGCATTTTAAAGAGAATAAACTCAAGACAGCATAGTATTACTAGATTAGGCTATTAAAGTAGTGACATCATGTACCTATTATATTCAGCATAACCACTACAGCACTATTATTCCCTTTATAAATCACTGACCATTATTGTTATCATTGCATCATGCATAAGACTATCAAATCATATAAACTCAAGAAAGCAAAGAATTGTTTATATTCACAGGCACTTCTTAAATAAACTTTTTTCTGGATTTCATATTGGCAAAATCATCAATTATATTCTGAAAATCAATATTTCTTGTTAGATCAGACTCAATGGTCAACAAGGCTAGGTTACACAATTTGTCTTGGCTCATTGTTGAACGGAGCTGGTTTTTCACTCTTTTCAAAACAGAAAATGAACGTTCTCCTTCACAGTTAGTAGCTGGAAGTGTTAGGTAAAGGCGATACACTATGTCAACATTAGGGAAGGTTTCTGAGATACCTGCATTTCTTAAATGTTTCAAAGCAGCTGAGGGCGCACATTTTTCAGGTGGAGCTTTAATCTGATTCATATACCCAGAAAAATGAACTATTTCTTCAACAAATGTGTCCTGAACTTCTGCTGAAAGGTGTTGTTGCAACTTTAATGCAGCTTCTCTCAATTCTGCATCTGGCATAGTAGTAATTTTGAACAGAAATCCAAACTTGTCATTGAGATTCTGGTAGATTTCTTTTCTTTTCACCAATTCTGTAATCAGTGAATCCAGAATGACGAAGTATGTAGCTGTCTTACATTTCTGCCTTGGTAGCAACACAATTTCATTGTCAGGCTCTTCAAAATTGCGTTTCCTCTTCCTTGACCGCTGATGATCAGCCCGGTAACTGTAGTCTTTCACCAGCAGTTGAGCTTTCTCTTCAAACATTTCAAAAGCTTCATCATTGCGAAGTGAGCTTACAAATTCCACTAAGCCTGCATAGAGGTTAGCACAAGTAGCCATTTCAATTTCAATTTTCTGAAGTGTCTTGTTCATGGCATTTAACCGTTCCAGTATACATTCCCAAAGCATACAGAGTAAGGCCAATTCAAAATCTTCCAATTTTGATACTAAGCTGGCTGCTTCGCTTCTTGTAGTTGCTGTCTGGTCTTCATCCTCTGCTATTTGGATCAAAGCAGAACGTATTTCAGCAAAGCTGTCTTTCAAAACATGTGTTGCATCATGCTGCGCTGACCACCTTGTTGTTGATAATGATTTGATGACATCTCCATGAATGGTTGACTTGAGTATACTCCACCGATGCGTTGAAGCAGAGAAAAAATTAAAGAGTGCTTGTAAAAGTCCAAAAAATTAAACTGCAGCGACACAACACTCCGCAGCACATGACCCAACAAGATTAAAAGAATGTGCTGAGCAGGGCATATATTCAGCAAGTGGGTTGATTTGCTTGATACGGGCTTGCAATCCATTATATTTACCCGACATGTTACTTGCATTGTCGTAGCTCTGGCCACGGCAATCCATAATAGAGAGATCATGTTCAAGCAGAGTATCCAGTACTATATTCATCATTGTTTCACCATCATGGCCTGAAAGAGGAATGAATTTTATAAAGCGCTCTACAGGCTTACCACTGGAGTCGACAAAGCGAACAATGAATGTCAATTGATCTGTATGTGAAATATCTGGTGTTGAATCTACACTTATTGCAAAGTATTTTGCAGTTTTCACAGCTATGATGTTATTGAGGACCTTCTTAGTCATCAGTTCAATAAATTCATTGCATATAGTAGATGACATGTAAGATACAGTGCCTCTTCCTGCATTCCCAAGGCGTGACACATGATTTGCTAAGAATGGATCGAATTGTGCTAACAGTTCTATGATCCCTATAAAATTGCCATTGTTTTCCGAACCAAAAACCTCATTTTCTCCACGGAAAGCAAGTCCTCTAAGAGCTAAGAATTTTACAACAGCAACAACTCTTTCTAGAACTTTTCTCCAATAAGTGCGCTCTTTTTCAGTTTGATTTTCCAAATGAGAATCCAATAAGCCTTTTTTCTGTGCACGAAATACACTGGCTAATATGCAGCTCCTGTGAGTGGTGCTGTTTTCATGTTCCTCGAAACGCTTGGAATTTTTCCAGTCATTGAACCCCTGTGTGAAGGTATTTTCTTTGGTAGAAAATAGCTTGCATGCTGAACAGTACACTTTTCCTGAGCTTTCAGAGTATACCATCCATGATCTTTTCACAGTTTCTGAATTTGCAAGCTTCCTATAAAACATAGATGACTTCCATCATCATAAATCCTTGCTGATTTCCTAAAGTCAATGTTCAGTTTGACTGAAGTTTTCTGCAATGAAAGCATTACGTAGAGAATCTGGGATTACATTTGGCCATGAGGCAGGATCTTTTAAGACAAATCCTGTGGATGAAATGTCCGTTGAGACATTGAGAGGAGACACAAAGAAGTAGATGCTGGCTGAGAAATAATGGAGGGAGGGCTTCCTGTATGATCTGACGTATCTGCAGATTCAACTGTACTGGTAACATCAGAAACTGTTTTCGTGAGCATGTCTGTGATCTTTCTGCAGCTTCCTACATCTTTCTTTTTCTGTTCTTCTTCTTGAATTTTCTTCTTTCTTTTCTGTGACCCACTCGCATAAGAACGTCCAACATCACGTTCACGAGATGCCATAATGAGGATGTATCACTGTCTGTAATCATGCAAATACAAATTTTTCATTATCAATTATTATTATTTTTTTTAATTATTAGATTTTTTTTTCTGTCAATTGGGGGGATATGGCCCTTGTAGCCCCCTTTCCTCTGGCTGCGCATCTAAAAATTCAAAACGTTACCAGAAAGAAGTCACATACAGAACTTTTACCATAGATTAGGTTAGTGATTTGGGCTACGAATATTTTACTAATTCATCCTCCTTGATCTCCAATTTACTTAAACAGAAATCATACCGAGTCCAAGAACAATGCACAATGGTATTTATATTACCATTTTCATAACTAAACTAATCATTATGTTTTGCATGATATATGGCCTACCACCATAGATAAGGACATGAGAATTAAAGAATGCAGGGACAATTTTCAGTTTCACCCAACCAACGATTTTTGATGTGGCTTATGTGTTTCTGGGGAAATATGTAGTAAATTAATTGATGTTCTACATCACTTCCGTCGCAACTTGAAAACTAAGCATTTGCGACGGAAGTGATGTAGAACATCAATCAATTGAGATCTGTTATTGAAATGATAAAGACTTAAAGACAGGTCAAAGTGCTTTTAAAACCTACAAACGGAAGTCAGTTTGCGTTTTTAGGTTTTTCTTTTACCAAAAATGCGTCTTTACTGGTCCATGCGTCTTTACTGGTCAAGTAACCCTATCAGGTACCTCCCTTAACATTTAGAGGCGAAAACAAACATTTATCCATACACATCAATGTCTATCAACAACACTTCAGTTAATTTGTCACAGTACAAGTCTAGATAACGTGTAATTACTACAGAAAATTGGAGAGGAATCTCCCATACTCACCCATTAGCGGGAAAACACAGCTGTTCTGATGTAAACAAAGGCGTGTTGAGTGTTGCCATCTATGGTTAGGTTTATTTATTTTTATTTTATTTTATTTCATTATTTATTTTTTTTTTTTGATTAATTTTTAAAAATCAATTTTACTCTCCAAACACTTGAACTTTTTAGGTAGGGACCCCTTTGCACTTGCACCATGTGCGCAGTCTTGGATGAGCCCCTGAACCCCTTGGACCGCGGGGCCCCCAAATGCGCGGGGCCCTAGGCAAATGCCTAGTTCGCCTATGCGGTAATCCGGCCCTGCTCGTATGAGTTTATGAACCAATAGCAGTGAGTGAACTCAGCATGACATCTGCCTACGTTGCTGTTTTGATGTCCACTGTAAATGTAGTAAACAAGCCTTCTATTTGTATGTGTTCGTAATATCTTCCCTTCCTTAGGTCGATCCTGAATGCTTCCCATTTCATCAGGAACTGTGCAATCCCTACGTAGGGTTTGGCGCTCCCCCATGAATGTATTGTACTACTGAATTCAGCATTATGCTGATTTCAACTCACCTTGGTGTGGTCCAGGCTGATAACCTGGACCTTGGTGACGTCATAGATGTTGCAGGTGAAGGGTGAACCACCGACGCTCTCACCGTCCATGATGACGTTAATGGTGTGGGGACCCACCTCCAGGGGTTGGAACTCTGCTGTCAGCTTATTAGGCAGCTCACCACTCAGCTTGACCGGCACGTGCGCCCCAGACGGAGACGTCACCTGTACCAAACACTCAAATTTACCATAGTAACCATACTGCATTTTAAAAGGAAACAAAAAATTTGCAAGCTATGGAAAGAAAGGGGAGCAGGAGAAAGAACATTATAGCTTATAAATGTTGAATGCTAAATCTATATAGATTGCCCTCACAATATATTCCTAGGTCCAGACTATGTATGACATGGTAGCAAGAAGGGCACAACAGTTCATAGCTTATAATTGAGAGGGCGGCGTCTACTGACCTGGACAACACAATCTGTGACATCAGCACTGCGAGGATCAATTGTGATGACTGCAGGTCGAGCCAGAGAGGACATCTTGAGTCCCGCACCAGATATCACTACCTGGCTGCTGTCACTCACACGACACTTGAAAGGCGACCCTGTCAGTATTCAAGGAGGGTAAGAGTACACAGGTAGGCCATGACACCGCCAGCTAATTGCAATATTCAAATACTAACACATCCCTAATTTCACTAAAGTGAAAAAAACTCCACAACTATTGTTCACTATATACTATACACAAAGCTAAGCTGTTCCACCAACTTTACCTAGACCTATACTTAAAACGCTGCAGCAGTTACTGTGTAAACCACAGAAATACCCGGCCACACAGGTTTAGGGTGCCCTCTGCGATTGTGTGAAATGTTATTTGATCTATTACGGTTTATGATAGATTAAGTAACTCTCTCTTCAATTCATATATGCTATCGCGATGTAGGTGAAAGTGTAGGGATGCCACCTAGTAGGCCTCTGTTCGACCACACGTACGCCTGTTTGGAAGGAGGAGCGAGTTTAAGGAAGAAATACGAAAGTTGTAAGAGTTACAAGTGGAGTCCTCTACGAGGTCAGCCTTTGCTGTTGCTGATAAACATAAATGACATACTGGCAGATGCTTTATCTTGTATGTATCACTATCTGCTAAGGATGCAAAAAATAATGAGAATAATATTCACTGGAGAGACTCCAAGACTCCAAAGGCTACATGGTCAAGCAAACAGAAATAACTATTATTAAATGTAAAATAATGATAACAAGAGAGAGAGAGAGAGAGAGAGAGAGAGAGAGAGAGAGAGAGAAACTCGAACAGTCTGATATAGGAGTGTATAGTGTCTCACCTAGTTATTATCAAGAGTGTATATTAACCATGTAACTTCGACGGTATTCGTGAAGCTAGTTAGCTTAATAACTTCTTTCAAGAACTTTCATGATCATTTAGAAGTTTATATGTTTTTCTACTGATTCTATACATATATCAGGTTCATCTCGAAGTATGAAGCACTCGGTGGCTCGGTAGGTAACGCTCGCCTCACACTGAGTGTCCGTGGTTCAATCCACGGCATGGGTGAAAACCTGCTGTCCCTGTTCATCTAGCAGTAAGTAGGTACCTGGGTGTTAATCGACTGATGTGGGTCGTATCCTGGGGGACAAGACAGTCCTCGATGACCCACTGGGTTATTTTGGGTGGCTAACCGTTGGGGTTAAAAATCCGAACAAATCTTAACACGTAATACGCACCTGATCAAATACATGAACTACAAAAAATTCAAAGGTACGCGATGAGGGTCAGAAAAGGAACATAATAACATGTTTAACATTCAGGTTAGATAGAGGCAGATAGACTGTTGGAGAAGGAAGGAGCGAAGAGGTATATGGCAGCTAAAGACGCAGATGTGCTACTTGGACGTGAGTGGTGGCGAGGACATAAAATAAGCTAAATGAAGTGGTGGAGGCAACCACCATAGAACAGTTTAGATCAGGTCGTACCTTGACGGCTAGGAATCTGTAAAGTGGTCGTTAGTAGTAAGGAGTGATGATCAGACCCCTACAAATTAAAGGTGAGTACGCTCTCCATACCGTCTTCTCCCTCACACCTACCCAAACATACATACAGGAGCTTAGCCTCCAGCCCCGCAAACACAAACCAGCTAGCTAGTAAAAATCGGTTAAGTGCACACGTTGAGGTCTTATTTAGTTTCTCCCTCTCTCTAACTGAAATGTGAATCTCGTCTCCCAGAGATCCTTTCCCAAGATTCCGCTTTCCTTTAACATCCCCGCCATCCTCAGACAACTTACTCTGAGCTAACGTCAGGTCGTTCAGGGACTTCCTGCGAATCATTTTTTTGAACATGTTCACTACTTCCCGATGCTCTGGCCTTTATTTTCTGTCACGTGAGTTCACTGTCATGTCTTTCCGTATCACTTGTTCCACTACAATATACGAAATTCCTTCACCCTATTTAAAAGAAATCTTCTAAATAACGCCATTACTGCTTTTCTATCATTAGTCAGAGAAAAACGTTAGTGGCCCTAAACTGGCATAAACGGATTGAGAGAATAAACATTGTTCCGAGACAGTGTTGGTCTGAGATAGCTGGAACATTTTTCAGCACACTAGACTGTGACCAATATGGTCTGGTCATAAGCCTCATTGGCCTGTGTCCATTAGTCTATTTTTATAATAACCAAATGTAAATTGGAGCTTCCGTCACAAGCTTCCGCGTTGGCACTCAACACATCCACCTCCGCTGGCGAACTGAATAATGAATGCTCTCAATAATGAGTGTGTGTGTTGGGGAGGGGAGGCGTGCACAGTGCTACTAGTGTTGAGACCACAACAGGACACCTGTGATAGCCAGGCCATCAGTGCTGAGGCCACAGTAAACCCACAGCTCAGTGATAAAGGTACTTTTCATATCTGTGTATCAGTGACTGCCGTGCTCTTTATGATTCCCTCTCTCTTCACCCTTCAAGTGGGGAGAGGGGAGGAAGGTGAACGCCTTTATGCTGGTGAAATGTTGACCTTCTCTTCAAATAAATGTTGGGTAGTAATGGGGTGCTACCATAAATGGTCAGGTAGTCTACTATTGTCATTTTCTGACGTCCAGAATAGTTTTAACCATCCAATTGATTTTCGAAAAGTTGAGAAAGTTGTATCAAGCAAGTCCATGGTTGACAGAAATATAATTGAATCTTGTTTCATAAAAAGCAGTTTTGAAAATATGAATATTTCCTTAGGTTTATATAAATTAGACTCATTTATAATTAATAAAATTTGTTTAGTTTAATAATACACTGGACAAATAATAAACCTTATTTCTTGGGTAGAATATTTTGTTAGTGGGATGTCGTGAGGACCTATCTAGTTGGACCAGCGGACCTACTGCAGTGTTCCTCTTTTCTTATGAGCCCGGTACTGTCGCGCGTCAGGTGTTTCTTTGTTGTGGGGGTTGACTGTGAGGTGTAGTCTAAGCCCTTTAATTGCCTTCCTTTGATGTATTACTTTCATAGTTCCTTGACAATGTGAGTAGTCACGAAAGCGCTTGGAATTTCACTACTCTTTCACAGTTGTTGTTTTGCATATTTTAAAATCACCTGTTTACTGTGATCTTATTGCATTATATCTACATATCTATAGTTCAATTATCTGTTACAAGCAAATTTAGGAAATCTGCTTAGTATATCTGGTATCTTATTTTCATTGATAAGATATCTTGACATGTCACATAGGTTATTATACTGTCTGTCTCTGTATTCCTCAAAAAGTGGACAATTAAGCACATAGTGTTCAAGACTGTGACCATATGCCTGATCACATAATTTTCATTTAGTTTGATCATCTGTGTCTCCCTCAAACTGCCAGAAGTACTTGTAACCATATTGCAAGTTGCTCCATAAACATACTTATCTATGTTCATGTTATCATAGTGGGTTATAGATCTACTCAGGCTTCTAACTGCATTCCTATAACAATCATTTTCATTATTTACTTCTCTTCTAATATTATTCCTAATGCTAGACACAAATGTACCAAAGTTATATTCTACATTCTTCTTCTGGGTACTCTTCTTGGCTAACATATCAATTTTATCATGAAGGAGTAATCCAATGTGTGATGGGATCCACAGAAATTGCACATTAGTTCCTTTGTCCCTGATTTTTGAGTATCTATACCTGGCTTCTCCAATGAGCATGTTGTTGGAGTCATTATATGAGTTAAGAGCATTCAATGATGACATAGAATCAGTAATGATGACAGTGTCAAGCTCAGTGTCATAAGTTAGCTTCAGCGCCATTAGGATTGCAAACAATTCAGTTTGCAATGTAGACGCCCAGTTGTTAATTCTTATGCCTAGTTCAACAAGTTTATTATCGTTCTTAACTAGGGAGGTGGCAACAAGAGCAGATACTCGTTTAATGTAGCCATCTTTTAACATTTTCTTTGATTGTCTGAACGAAGGAAAAAATTTGCCTCATTACCAGTGCCAATAAATATTCAAGATATGGTTATTTTGCTTCGAGATTCTCAGTGTGAAAAGAAAACTTTAAATAAAGCTATGAAATGACTGCCTTTTTAATATCCTTTTCTTTTTAATTTAGACAAGATGCTTGGCATTCCAGTAAAGCTTGTAGGCATTATTTTAGGGGATGTATGTACGCATGTATTTATAACCCATTAATCTCTGAGGTAAGGGTATATATAGTTTTCATCGGCTTGTCAACAAGTTGGTGACCCTTAACAACCCCGCTAATATATCTGCCACACAAGTTGTGCTCATCAACATTTTCAATAAAAATAGAGATGTAACAAGTTTTGATTTAAATCAAGACGATTTATAAATTTTCGGACTACTTCCTGCTTATCACCAAAATTAAAATATTCAAAGTACCTAATGACTTAGTTTTTAATGTACTTTTCATAAGATTTTAAAAATATGTAAAATATTACAGACTTATTGTCAAGTTCAAAACAAGTAGTATATAAACATTATATAAACATTATATAAACAAGTAGTATATAAACATTATATACAAGTCTGACAACACCAGACATTTCCAACGAGCAAACTTATTTAATAAAAAAAAACCTCTGGAATAATTACAATCTAGATAAAGTGAAGTGATTAAACAAGAAAATGCATAATTGATAGCACAGACAACCTGATAAGCAGGACTAGTAGGTACTGTATCAGATACAACACTCGTGAAACCACAATTGCAGGGAAGGGTGAGAGACTATGCGGCCAACAGTAACAGCCTGGTTGATCAGGCCCTGATCCACCATGAAGCCTGGTCAGAGACCGGGCCGCGGGGGCGTTGACCCCCGAAACCCGCTCCAGATATACTCTGGGTATAAGCTACCTGTACGTGTGAGGCCACGCTACTTGTGTGTGTGTGAGGCTACACTACTTATATGTGTGTGTGAGGCTACACTATTTGTATGTGCGTGTGAGGCTACACTACTTGTGTGTGTGTGTGAGGCTACACTACTTTGTGTGTGAGGCTACACTACTTGTATGTGTGTGTGAGACTACACTACTTTGTGTGTGAGGCTACACTACTTTGTGTGTGAGGCTACACTACTTGTATGTGTGTGTGAGAC